ACTACTACTACTACTACTACTACTACTACTACTACTACTACTACTACTACTACCACTACTACTACTACTGATGATAATAATACGAAAAGAACAATTGCAATAATAATAAAAATCATCCTCCTCGTCATCATCGTCATCATCATCATCATCATCATCATCACCATCATCATCATCATAAGCATCACCATGTGATATATATATTATTTCCACTGCATCCCGACCTTCCCCAGTTGTCTCGACAATGTCCTGCCACTGGCTACAGATGGGCTGGGACGAGAGGCTGAGGCTGAGGACCTGCGCAACTCCCCCTCACTGTAATTCAAGTCAAGCGCAAGGCATGACTCCATTCAGTCTACAAACAAAAACGCAGCGAGCGGAAGTCCAACAGCAGACTACCCGTGCCCATACGCCAATACTGCAGGCGAACCTTCCGAGCACGGATAGGCCTGATCTGTCATCTCTGGACCAACAGTCACCATCAACAGACCAATTTAGGAAATCATGGTCACCTTCACAAGCGAAGAACGAGCAACAACATTAATACACCCGAATCACACCGCCAATTTAATTCATCATTCATACTATCGGGACAAGGCAGCCGGGTTGGGTTTTTTCTTCTTTGGGAGCGGGCAAAAGAAAAAGGCTATCAATTGAGCACAATACGACCTCAAGCAACAACATTCGACTGCCACACTCAAAACCAAACAATTTGTTTTTCAAGGTTACGAGTCGAACCGGTCAGAAGTGAACAGCTTGCAGGCTTAAACTAATCACAAGGTCAGGGTCACATTTGTATTTCACTTTTTTTTTTGCGCGCGTGAAATGCGAGAAAGAACGGTGCCGATTCGGAGAGGCTGATAAGAGAGATAATATCCAAATTTCCCACACCTGTCGGATACAAGATAGAGCTGGGCGAAGGATCAATTCTGGAACCGATTTCCCCGATTAATCCTACGAATGAAAAGTTCCGACTCCTCCTTACGTAAACCAGAAGTTACCAGTTACTTTAATCATTAAAATCTTCTTTTTTTTCAAATTATTTTTGAAAAATAAGAGTTGATGCTTCCTAGTGTTCCGAAATCAAGTTTATCCCAAATCTGAAAGATGTTTGGAGCCAACCACGAAACCACCGAAAAGAAATCACATCATTAGAAAGTAAGTAATTCAGTTCGGAGTCAATTCCTACGATTCCTAGCTCTCAATAATCAGGAACCTTACCCCCCAGCACTAATCCAAGATCCTTTCAACATAGCAACCGCTATTTAAGCAGAAGCCGGAACTTGAACCCAATATTGAAGGGGATGGCTGTGTTGTGAACGGTAAGTTTGGTGTTCAAGAACACCGCAAGCCGGTTTTCCATTCTTGTTATATTTGACACCACAACGGGAGGGGTGTACATACTACATGTACATGTACTCGCAGTGTATATTGAAGCCGCCGATCTGATCCCGCCAATGGGCACCTATGCGTAAAACATGTAAAGTCTTCACATCTCTTTGTGATCTCGACCAGCATCGCCAAACACATCATCGTTTACTCAAAGCAGTAAACAGTGCTCTGTCTTTTGTTCTGACTCATATGAGAGATAGAAAGCGTTCAGCACATTTGGTATAACTAACATCGTCAGGAAAAAAACTTTAGGGATTGCCTTTTTAGTGAGACAACTTCCTGGGCCTTCGGAGTACTGTGGAAGGGTGGTCATTTTTTTGTAGTAGAGGGTTTTACGGCGCTCGCAACTGCATAAGGTCATATGAGCGCCAAGGGGTGGATGTCAACAGAGAAGTCTTTACAGGGAATCAGACTTAGACTGCTCACCTCTCTAGCTTCAACAGCACAAGGTCTGCTTCCACTATCAAGGCACCCCAAAATAGCAGGTCACAAGAAAGTGACAAACATATAAAAGAAGTAGAGGAAAATGACAATAGTAAGGATCAGGAAAGAAAAAGCTGCAGTTCCCTGTTGTAGATAAGGCACAGTTATGAGCGTGACATGATTCAGCCCATTTACAATTCTACTATGCTTGAACGAGAAATGTCCCCCCTTTGGGAATGGCCTAAAGACACAACAGTCAGTGGCACTGCCCCGGGGGGTAAGGGTGGTCAGTTCCTTTCCACGCCGCCTTCGTCGTCAGTACAATGCACATATGTATTTTTAAAATACTCAATAACGGCATTTGGGACCTTAAAATCTTTGGGAGGGAGGGGGGCAAAAAAAGCAAGAAGATGAACTAAGTCACACTGGAAAATTCCGAGGTGCCCTGCCACGAAAGGCAGGAGAGATAGAGGGGGGGAAAAAAGAGAGAGAGAGAGAGAGAGAGAGAGGGAGAGAGAGAGAGAGAGAAGGGGGAGGGAGGGACAGACAGAGAGGGAGAGAGGTCGGGGGGCAGGGAAGGAAGGACAGACAGACAGACAGACAGACAGACAGACAGACAGACAGACAGACAGACAGACGGACGGACAGACAGACGGAAAGAAAGATAGAAAGATAGATAGAGATAGATAGATAAATGGATAGAAAAGATAGATAGATAGATAGATAGATAGATAGATAGATAGATAGATAGATAGATAAATCACGCGTATAGCATATTTAGACAAGGGGAGAATAAGGTACTTTTCAGAGACTGGACCGTGTGTCTTAAATTGTGAGACTGTAGGGTGTGTATGTGAACTTTTGCAATACAATACAAGAAATATGAAACGTTTCGGGCATTACACTTTTTCGACACACACACACTCACACACGTACACACACAAACTAACACACACACAAGCGCACACACAGACACACACACATACATATACAATTTCATACGAGAACACACACAAATACACGCATACTCTGATGCACAGAAATGAGCGCGCGTGCACACACACAGACACACACCCGCGTACACAAACACGAACACAAACATACACACCTAAACACACACACACAGACACACTGAAATACACACACAAAGAAACTCCAAAATACAGAAATACACACACCGACACATGGAAAGGCACACATAAAGAAACACACACACACACACACACACACACACACACACACACACACACACACACACACTCAAACAGGCACACACATGTTAGTTTACATGTCAGCAGACACCTAGCTTACGTAATAGGAGACGTCTACAAGGCTCTAGATAATCCTGGCATAAAGCTACAGATACAGGTGGACTGGAGGAGGAAGTGGAGGAATGAGGAGGGTGGAGGGTAGAGGTGGTGGAGGGAGGAAGAGGAGGTGGGTGGTGGAGGGGGAAGAGAGGGGGGTGGAGAGAGAGAGAGAGAGAGAGAGAGAGAGAGAGAGAGAGAGAGAGAGAGAGAGAGAGAGAGAGAGATGTGAAAGGCATGTGGTAGTGAGCCGGTGGAGGAAGGGGGGGGGG